GATGAAAAACTTTCACAAGATCAGTTGGCTGTGATCTTGTTGAACTTCATTAGTGATAAATATAAAGATATCAAGGTTGCCTTGGAATATGGTAAGAATTGACTACATAAATAATAATTAATGCCCTAAATAATAAGGCCCTATAAATCAAATCTGAGACCAAAGAAAGTCAAAATGGAGATACCTTATTGGCTAAAGGAAAAGGTTTTAGTAAGTCCAACTATCACTCAAAAACTTCATTTGGAAATAAGCAAAAATGGGGTGATAAGGGTAAGTCTAAGAACAAGGCCAAAGGTAAGAAATGTTTTTATTATGAAAAACATGGACACTTTATCAAAGACCGTTATAAAAAAAAAATGAGTCAAAGGAAAAGAAACATGAAGTTGGGGATGCTGCCTTAGTATATAACAAAGATAAAATTGAAGATGGCTTGGTCCTTTTTAATGGGGACAAGAGACTAAGTAATGAATGGATTCTTGATTCAGGCTGTTCATTTCATATGTGCCCTAATAAGAATAGTTCTCTTGAAATGGAAAAAACTATTAGTGGGCAAGTCATAATGGGTAACAATATGACCTATAAAGTAAATGGAATCGGTACTATTAAATCGTTACTTGATAATGGGAAGGTCCTATTTTTAAAGGGAACCAAATATGTTCCTGAACTTGAAATGAATTTAGTGTCTCTAGGAATGTTAGATGATATGAAGTTCAATATAAAATTGAGTCATGGATATATTGAAATTCTTAGGGGCAATGATCTAGTCATAAGCACCCCTAAGAGACATGAACTTTACTTTCTTAAAACTAAACCTTTACTTGGCTTAACTGCTACTGCTTTAATTGGAAATTTTTCTCTTGCAAAATTATGACATGAAAGACTTGACCACATTGGCAAGAAAAGTTTAAAGGCTTTAGAAAACAAAGGAATTTTTGTAAATAAAATTTTGGTAATATTGGTCATTGTGAACAATGTGTGATTGGCAAACAGGTTAAGCTTCCTTTTTTGCCTGGAACTCATAAAACTAAACAAATTATCAAGTACTTGCATGCTGATTTATGGGGACCTGCACCTGTGTGTACTCTTTCAAGTTTTAAATATTATCTTTTGATCATTGATGATTTTTCAAGAAAAATCTGGGTTTTCTTATTAAAATCTAAAGATGAGACCTTTTCAGTCTTTAGGGACTGGAAAATACAAATAGAAAATTAAATCAATCACAAGATAAAAATATTAAGAACAGATAATGGTCTGGAGTTTTGTAATTATGAGTTCAATAACTTCTGTAAAGAATATGGTATATTAAGACATCTCACTGTCACCTATACACCTCAACAAAATGGCATAGTTGAAAGAATGAACACAACCTTACAAAATAAAGTTAGATGCATGTTATTAAGTTCTGATTTGCCAAAAATATTTTAGGGTGAAGCTGTAAAAACAGCTGCATACTTAGTTAATAGAACACCCACTTCTGCCCTAAACTTTGAAGTACCTGAATCTCTGTGGACTAAAAATTCTGTTGATTATTCACACTTAAAAACCTTTGAATGTGCTGCTTATGCACACCAAAATATTGGAAAATTAGAACCTAGATCACTTAAATGTGTTTTCTTAGGTTATGGTGAAAATGTGAAAGGGTATAGATTGTGGTTTAAAAGTGAGAAAGGGTATAGGGTAATTGTTAGGAGAGATGTTGTCTTTAATGAATCCCTTATGCCATGTCCAGAAGGAAAACATAATTTGACTTCTGATGATGTCCAAATTGAGGTGGAGCCTCCTAAGATTGAAGGAGAAACCCATGTACCTGTTGCACCGGAAACGATTAATGCAGAAAATGAAATTGAAAATAATCTGCATGATAACACTAATGACCAGATTGAAAATCCTACCTATCACATTGAAGAATATTAATTAACTAGAGATAGGAAAAGAATGCAGACTAGACCACCTACAAGATATGATTCTGATGATTTTGTTTCATTATTTACCTATCAAGAACAAATTGAAAATGAGCCTAATACTTATGAAGATGCCATAAATTGCAAAGATTCTAAGCATTGGATAGTTGCTATGGAAGATGAAATGAGTTCACTTTTTAAAAATAAAACTTGAAAATTAGTTGAAAAGCCAAAAGGTCAAAAGCTTATAGACTGTAAATGGATTTATAAGATAAAATAAAGGGAGGGAGGAAATAATAGTCTAAGGTATAATGCTAGATTAGTTGCAAAGGGATTCACACAAAAAGAAGGTGTAGATTACAATGAAATATTTTCTGCTGTAGCTAAATTCACTACAATCTGCTTACTTGCTTTAGTTGCTCAATTTGGATGGGAACTTGATTAGTTAGATTTTAAGACTGCTTTCTTTATGGTGATCTGGAAGAAACAATTTATATGAAACAATCGGTTGGGTTTGTGAAAGGAAATCCAAAAAATGTTGTGTGCCTGTTAAAGAAGTTTCTGTATGGCCTAAAATAGGCTCCTAGGCAGTGGTACAAAAGATTTGATTCCTTTGTATTGAAACTTGGTTTTCAAAAGAGTAATTATGATACATGTCTGTATTGTAGAGGTAAAGGAGGTAAACATTCTCTTTATCTTGTACTTTATGTGAATGATATGTTGCTTACAAGTTGTGATAAATCTGAAATTGAATATATTAAGCAACAACTTAAATTTGAATTTGACATGAAAGATTTTGGAAATGCTAAAAAGATTCTTGGCACGCAAATTTATAAAGATAAAGAGAAAAACATGTTATTTCTGAATCAATATGATTATGTGATAAAAATTTTGAAAAAATCCGACATGTTTCACTGTAAATTTGTGTCTCTGCCTCTTGCAAATCATTTTAAACTTACATTTGATCTCTGCCCCAGAACTTTTGAAGAATCTGATAAAATGTCAAAAGTACCTTATGCAAATGTTATTGGTTCTGTGATGTATTTAATGGTATGTGCTAGACCCGATCTTGCTTTTAGTATTAGCATATTGAGTAGGTTTATGAGTAATCCTAGGGAAAAACACTGGAATGCTTTAAAATGGCTCTTGAGATACTTAAAGGGTACTACAAACTTGGATCTTGTGTTTAAAATGAATAAAGAAGGGGTAACTTTAAAGGGATTTACTGATTCTGACTTTGCTGGAAATAAGGATAATAGAAAATCAACTTCATCTTATTTCTTTACCTTATGTGGTACAGTAATCAGTTGGAAATCACAATTACAAAAGATTGTAGCTTTATCCTCAACTGAATCAAAATACATTGCTGCTTTTGATGCTTTTAAAGAAGGAATATGGCTAAGTGGATTACTTAAGGAACTTGGAGTTGTTGATGGAAATGCAACATTATATTCTGATAATCAAAGTGATATACATCTTAGTAAAAACCCCATGTATCATGATAGGACTAAACACAGACATTAAGTATCATTTTATTAAATACATTATTTCAAAAGGTGTTTTGAAAATTGGTAAAGTACCTACACGGTATAACCCATATGATATGGAGACAAAGATAATACTTTTGAACAAATTTAAAAACTGTTTAAAAACATTATTTATTGATTCTATTTGATAAATTACAGGTACTTGGAGCAAATGAAAGGAGAAAGTGATATTGTCTCCTGGTTGCACTGAACCTGAAAATATGGTAGCAAGGTGGAGATTGTTGTGATTCGAACCATAGTATTGTTGCTCCCATATTTTCAGCCCATTAAAACGTGTTATGAAAATGCGATTTTATAAGTGGCATTCTCTCTGATGATGACACCTGACTCTATTCCTACCGTTGGATGAAGGGTTACATTTTTCTGGTGATATATAAGGGACTTGACTTTTCGTTTGGCTGTGTGACTATTTACTCGGTCTGACTTTTGAGTGAGATTCGAGAGAGTTCTTCTGTTCTCTCGAGTTTGGGTTTTTTGTTTCCCTATTTTCTTGAAATCGATCATCTCATTCAATGTGTATTTTGAAGGCTGTTAACTACTGAATACTTGTATATTCTTGAGTGATACTTAGAGTCTTCATGTGTTAAGGTTAGGGATTTGGTCTGTTGATTCGTTGTGGGTTTGAGGCAAATCTGTGGTTCCTTTGAAGAGATAAGTCTTTTTTCTATGTATTCTTGTAGTTGTTGAACATTGTAACCTTCGATTGGCTATTTTGGGGCTTTAGTGCAATCAAACAATATCCACTTTCGATTGGATGCTCAACAGGGCATTAGGTGCTTAGTCACTGAACTTCTGGGGCTTCAGCTGAAAAATCTTGTTGTGTTTTTTATTTTCTGCAAGTTTAATTTCTGTTATTTTGATCGATTGTATCTTGCAACTTATTGTGTGGGTTTTTGGCCCCCTTTCATTTACATTATGGAATAATAGAGCAGGCGGTTAGTTCATACATTTCTCCATTTGTTCTGCACATCATGGAATAATAGAGCTTTTTACATGCTGCAACTTGCAAGTTAATTTCCCAACTTGTATTAAGAAGTTGGATGTGATCACAAAGATGCCCGAGGAATGGTAAGTGTTCAAGAATTCGTAATAGCATAATTACGATACAGATGCTGTTTAGTTCTTTTGAAAACATCCAACTATGGATTTTTATTCAGCTCAAACCATTTGAAACTCAATTGCTACTTTATTGTTATTGATTCGATGGATAGAAATTCTCTTTTTAAAACCCTACAAATTGATTAAAACCTCATATTCATAGTAGAACCACAATGCTTAAATAGAATTTTCAAAGCTATAATAAAAAGGTCCTCGTTTCCAATCACCATAACATGATTGATATGGCTTAGGAGGAGAAAAAATGTAGAAAGTATAATATTTTAGAAGAATGCTAAGTAATTTTTTCTTTCTATGTAACTGTTATCATACTTGCAATAATGGTAAACAAAAATATTTAGATGCCTGGTTTTCTTACTTGTATCATGTCTGTACAACATTCTTCGAAAAGTGTTATTTCCATATCCTTGCATTGCATAATGACAAATTCTTGTTTATGCCTGCATTTGAAGATCCTCTTTTTATCGACCCAGACGTTGGCTGCCTTGTTCCTCCCGATTTCCACGTTAAGATGATGCAGCATCCACACAAGCACTGCCTTGCAAGTAGGTTTATTGATGATAAGTTGCTAACTACAATGAATAAAACTGATGGGCTAAGGCAGGTATTACACCAATGCACACATTGCTAAAATATAACTAGTTCCTTGAGTTTTGAAGTCACACGGCTAGTTTCCTTCTTCTTTTATAGGTGGTTTTGTTAACAGATGGCATGGACACTCGACGTCTGTACAGGCTCAATTGGCCAGCATCAACAATGACTTTTGAGTTATCTCCCGCAAGAATTTATAGAAAATCAACTCAGAAACTCAAAAGTGAGTGTTGTCTCACCAAAGTTTCTCCCATTTCTAAAGTGTGCAAGCTCAAGTTTTTCTATCTTTCTGGTTACGTATCTATAATTTTCTGAATTGTTTCAATGAAGATAATATATTAGTAATGCTGATTCTCATTACTAGTACACAAACTATTATTATATCCTCATCCACGATCCATTTGGTATTTGAAATTGTTTGCCAGTACCCAAACTATTTGGCCGAACAAGTCAGAATTGACTTAGTTATTAGTAGTCTAAAGAGTCTAGTATACAAACTATTATTATATGATTTATATCCTCATCCATGATGCATCTGGTATTTCAAATTGTTTACCAGTACCCAAATTATTTGGCCTAACAACTCGGAATTGACTTCGTTATTAGCAGTGTTAAGAATCTAGGGACACTGATCGTTGCAGTATTGACGTTCAATTTGAGTTCTCCACCTCAAATTTTTGAGTTTTGCACGAGATCTAGTAGTTTGTCTAGAGAAATACTTTTTGTCCTATTAAATCTTTAATACTGCAGGATTCTTTTCTATTCTATGTATTTCATGTCAATTGATGAGCAATGTAACATATGCTAATTGCTAACCACTAGATACTGGGGCTAAGATTCCAAGAAGCTGCTTGTTCTATCATATTCCATCAGAGACCTCTGATATTCAACAAATTTTGCACAATAAAGGATTTAATGGTGCCAGACCTAGTATATGGGCCTTCCTGGTAATTAGACTTGTTAATGAAAAATGACACAAACTTTCTTAAAGTTCAATTTTTTTAGTTGCTCCTTTTGGGAATGTATAGCTTAAAAATGGACACGAGGGAATACCAAAAGACGACCTCTTGGGGATGTGTAGAGGGATCTGACTTGGTTTTCTTTAATATCATATTAAATGACATTCAAATTGAATTGAATAATGCTATCTTGCACCAATATAAGTTCAATTAAATGTATCATGTGACATTACATTTAAATGATTTTATTATTTAATGTGATGCAGTTGTCACTTCAACTGATGTTTGACATCAGTGGTACTGAATAAATTTGTTAAACTGAAAATGTAATACTTATATAATAGACCAAACTGACATGAATGTTTATCTCAACTGATAGTCAATTTAAATGATATTTTCCACATAGTAATTAAAATAAAGATAAGGATGAAATCAAATGGGCTAGAGTTCATCCCGAAAGACCAAAGATAAAGATTACTGACTCTTGGATGAACCATTTAGACATCCCTTTCTTTCATATTTATAATAATAATAATAATAATAATAATAATAATAATAATAATAAACTAGAATAGTTTCTCCCTTGTGAGGAGTTAGTCATGATGCCACTCTCTCTCATCCTTTACTAATATAAAAATTTCATAACATTTTGCAATTATATATTTGTAGTACCTTTGCTTGTTTGGTATATTTGTAATATGAAAGAAGTCATTCAGAATTGTCTCTATTTCAAAAGGACATTTTATCATTGTTTAGATTAATTCAAATACTTCCGACAATAACCGTTGGTCAGTTTCATATGTAAAGTAAATAGATATTGATAATCAACACAAAAGTACCAACTTTTTGCTTGGTATTCATGTTTTATTTTGTTCAAAACAATACCACTTCTCAATAAAAGACTTGTTTTGTTAGTCAACTTAATTGACAAAGTCATCGTAAGATATTAGAGCATCTCCCAAAATACTTTTTATTTTTTAAGAACATATTCTATCATTTGGAGAGTATTTATAAATTTATAGAGTTAAAATTTTAAAATACTTCAACAAACTATTTATATTTAATACTTAATTTTACTACTTCAAAAAAATATTTATTATTTTTCTTTGTCTTTTATTTTAACTAACTTTTCTCTAAATTATTTCTCTTCGTCCTATTTATATAGGCTGGCTTTCCTTTATTTTCTTGATCCAATTATATAGTTCTATTTCTTTATTGAGAATGCTTTGTTTTATTCGTTTACTAATATACTCTTATTTAATTTGTCTCATTATGATTAATTTTTTCATTTAATCTTGAAATTGTACAAATATAAATAAGGATAAACTGGAAAAGTTTTTGAGAAAAATTATTTGTTTAATAACATTAAATAAAAGTTCTTAATCCATGTGAAAAATAAAACAAGCATATATAAAAGGAACAGATGAAATAATAATTTTTTTACATTGAAAATCGAAACATTTTGAATGCATTTATTTATAATAAAATGAGTTTGACTCTCCAAATTTAGAGAGTCAAATCCACTCTCTAAATTAAAATGTTAATTTAAAGAATCTCTTAGAGCATGATTTTAAGAGTTAAACTTTTTAAAATAGAGAGCATCTCTACTTAAAGAGTCACTTGCTTTTAGATATTTAAAAATTGAAATGATAGTCTTAACTATTTACTAGATTTTATAATGTGAATTCATTTATACTCCCTTCAAAAAGATTTTATAATGTTAATTCATTGTAGGTTTACAAACTTTATGAGTAGGGGTTTAGGTGTAACATAATGATGAGCATCACTACGGTCACCATTGGTGGTTCTGAATTTCAATCACCAACGACATAAAGAACTTGATGTTTATTAACCATAGAGATTCTTTCTCGGATTCATTCAATAATAATTCTTTAATATTTTCGAAAGACACACGCAGAACATTACGTCCACATCTAAGAAGTATGTAGTTACTCTCTTAATTAAAATTTATAAACAAATTAAATCCAATTCTTCTTTTCATCAAAACAAGAGCTTGATATATGTATAATTTTCATGAATGAGAGACGACAAAACTTGAACTTAGATTTTGCTTGACTCTGATAGAAAGCAATGAACCAAAAACCCTCTACAAGCCAAGCAACTAGGAAGAAGTGTAACTAACGAGAGTTCTTGAAACTAATTTATTGAAAGATTATCTTAATCATCTCATTTTTAGAAGTTTAAATCATTAAAAATAATACGACTATTTATTTAAAGCACGTTGAAGACGTATCAATCTAATTGTCTAATAAGCATGAGATGCTTAAGACAATTTCGACTCTCAACCTCGTGAAAAAGTGGATATGCGTATTGGCAGACAATTCTCAATCAAACTGGATAACACGAAAAATAAAAAATAAAATTTTGTATATTATCATTTGATAAGTTTCCGTGCTCATCAACTTGCCAAACGCGTCCCTAGGGTTATAAATGGCATTTCACATAAAATGGCCTAAAGTGGTCTTGATCAGTTATCAGCGAACACAAGAAACAAGAGCCTGCACGGCTGCACCCTTGTGTTTTCTATAAATAAGGTTCTCTTGTCAAACAAATTCATAACATCGTAACCCTAAAGAAGCCTCGGAAGAGGAGAGAGAGATTTTCTTGTTCCGCCGCTGCAGAAGGTTTTCTTTTCCATTCGGAGAAGAAATAGAAAAAGATTCTGCAGCAGCTTTTATTTATATTTTCATTTTCACTTAATATCCGCAAGTACTTTTCACAATAAAAAAATGGCTCGTTCATTCTCCAACGTTAAAATTGTTTCTGCTTTCGTTTCCAACAAAATCTCTGATGCTGCCACCAGGTATTGACTATTGCCTATTCTATAATCTTTTCTTTAATTCAAAAATGTTCAGTTATGCTTAAAAATAGCTCAAAAACTACATTTTTTTTCACTTTTTTTTATGGGTTTTTGGTCGATGTACAGGCGTGGATATGCTGCTGCACAGGGTGGTGTGTCCAAGAGCCTGAGCGGCGGAGGGGTGGCGTCGAACATGATGTTGAAGAAAGTGGTGGAGGAATCTGGCAAGACTACTTCATGGTTACCGGACCCAGTTACTGGTTATTACCGACCGGAGAATCAGGCGACGGAGATTGACGCCGCCGAATTGAGGGCATTGCTTTTGAAGAATAAAATCAGAGCACAGCAAATCAGAGAAAATTGATTCGGGCTTTTATCGGGTGGTATCATGATCCAATACTGCATATCAAATGTTTGTTAGTACTGAAAAGTGAAAATGAAGGAATTTATAACAAATCTTGCTGTGATTCTTCAGTGGAAATACGTCAATGTGTTTGTGGCGCTTCTCTGTGTTTCTTGTGTTCTTTGGCAGCTGTTTTGGCCTTGTTAAATTAAATTTTATTTTTTTATTTCTTATTTTTAATTACACAATCCTCCGATAAATATTATTACACGTAAATCTAATTCTTTTCCTTTTCAGCCAGCTATTCTTTAAAAAATAAATATTATATTTTAGTTTATTTCTAAAAAAGTTATTTATTATTTTTTATCAATAAAAATATTCATTTATTTTGACTTACTTCTTTATGGGTTAAACATTTTAAGCTTAGCCAATCACCATAATGGATATTGACAATGCAAGAATATATTTGAATTTTATACTACTAATCAAATCTAACAGACTTGATTGAATGATACAAACACCAGTCAATGGACTCCTGGAATGAAACTCAAAGGTACAATCATCCCGAGTTCAATTTATCAACATAAAATTATGGGTTTTGCGAAAAGAATTGTATTCAATTGAGATTTTTAATAACTTTTTAAAAATTAAAAAGTTTTAGGGCATTAAACGTAAACTTTTGAAATCTCTCTAAAAGTGTTGATGTGTTCAATTCGGACTTTTAAAAAGGGTTTAATCTATTTATATAATCATGATTGGATTAAAAAAAAAAAAATGATGTCAAAAATAAGTTTTTATCAAACTGTCCAATTATAATTTGATATGTGCCATTTTGTTAACAAAATTGTTAACTATGATTGTACACCAAGCATAATTCTTTAAAAAATTTCTAAAAGTTTTAGAGGTATTCAAATTTTAATAACTTATAAAAGTTTCCATGGTACTAAATTTTAAGTAGAATGTACTAAAATAAAATTTGTGTCTCATTAATTACAAGATTTTGGGAGACCTTTTTTTTTTTTTTTTAATGACCATGAGTGTTCGGACCATCTTACGCGCACTTTGACTAATTCCACGGGATCCTGAAATTTACAGTCGGATACTCACCTCAATGACCGTAAGGGGACTCGAACTGGTGATCATTGAAGAGCAAATTCAAGACATGACCACTGAGACCTATATTTATAGTACACGAGTCAAACATTAAAACTAGGCAAAAGATGGAAATTTAAAAAAAAAAAAAAAAAAAAAATTAATATGTATTTTTTTTATCAATATTTCTCTTCCATTTTCTCCCCTATGAATATTAGAGTTATGATTTTTTTTTATTGTTTATTAGAGGGAAAATTGCAGTCGAGGTACCAAACCTTTCGTTTATTAACAGATTTTGATCAAACCTTTCATTTGTGCTACTGGAGGTACCAAACCTTTCAAAAATCCGCACCCAAAGTCTAAATGAATGGAAACCGTCCATTTGACCGTTAGTTGACCAAAAAAAGTAAATTTGACCTATTTTGACCAAATTGGAATGGGTAAAATGGTAACTTGATAATTAAAATATTAAATAAATTGAACAAAAAAATCAAAAAATCAAGAAAAAATAAAAAATTTAAGAAAAGAAAAAGGGTTGTCTCCTTCAACCTCCCCACCCCGTCGCACCCCACCCCACCCCACCATCTTTGTCCCTAAACCAGCCACCAGCACCTCCGCCTCCCCATTAAGCGCCTCTCCAACCTCTCCCTTTCTGCCACCACTCCAAAGAAAACCCCACTTATCTCTGCATCAATGTAAGCTGGAATTGGTGTAATGGGCACGAAGCTAGGCATGATGTCATTCTTCGACGATTCTGGGGCTATAATCCCCGTAACTGTAGTTGGATTCCGAGAGGGCAACATTGCTACTCAGGTTAAGACCGAGCTCACTGATGGTTACAATGCAGTTTAGGTCGGGTATAGGTGAGTCCGAGACCGAAAATTGACGAAACCGAAGATGGGCCATCTGGAGAAGTTCGGAATTATCCCGTTGTGCCACTTACAGGAATTTAGGCTCCAGACCGTTGATGGGTTTGAGCCCAATCAGAGACTTTCGATTGAGGAATTGTTTAAGGAAGGGGATTTGGTTGATGTTTCTGGGACCATATATATATATATATATATATATATAGTGCCGCAATGTAAATGAAACAGTTAAAGCTGTTTCTTAACAATTACTGAACTTTCAATTTTTTTTTGGGAATATTTGCTTTCAAAATTGTTTCCAAGCATCAATGTACTTTTGATATTGGTTCCCATTTGGATTTTTTGAAAATTTAAAGATTCAGTCTGCCACATTGTCCAAATTGTTCATTTTCAAATGGGGTGGGGTGGGGTGGCGTGGCGTGGGGAGGTTGAAGAAGACAACCCTTTTTTAATTTCTTTTCTTAATTTTTTGATTTTTTCTTAATTTTTTGATTTTTTTTTCAATTTATTTAATATTTTAATTATCAAGTTACCATTTTACTGATTTCAATTTGGTCAAAATATGTCAAATTTACTTTTTTTTGGCCAACTAACGGTCAAATGGACGGTTTCCATCCATTTGGATTTCAGATGCGAATTTTTGAAAGGTTGGTACCTTCAATGACACAAATGAAATGTTTGTGCAAAGTCACGATAAAAAGTATCATATTTCAATATTCGTCAAAGTCGACTAGAAATCATTTCACTTGAAATCTTTCATTTCATTGGGTCCTTGACCCACCTACTATGCACCGGATAGAGCTCTGCATAATATCAATATCAATAATCAAATGGCCAGTATGAAATCGACACCGACCAGTGGACCATCCTCTCGTGACCACTAGAGGCCCATCCCCTGACTGCCCCTATGATCACCCAAGAAGTCTCCCACCTGGCAGCGCCAATAATCATAACAAAGGCATAGTCGAGTGGTCCGCCCTCCCGTGATCACCAAAGGCCCATCCCCTATCTACCTTTGCAATCACCCAGGAAGTAACACCCGCAATGCCAAACATATCACATAAGCATGCCTCACATGCCTCGGTGCCCTAGTAGTGGTCAATAAAACATTTATAATGAAACTCACTTTGAAATCATATTTTGCATGCAGTATTTTCAACCTCGATTGCAATTTTCCCTTTATTATATTAGTTTCTATTTTTTCCTTTTCTCTCTTACTGTTTATTTCTATTTTCTATAAAAAAAAAAAAAATAATATTCTTATAACTGTTTCTTTTTTCATTCTTTTTTTTAATGAAAAATATCAATTTAATTAAATTATAAAATTTTATATAGACTAATTTATAATTAAATTTAAGTATATATTTTTTATTTATTCTTTAAAGGTAAATTATATTAATAATGCTGAATATAAAATTTTATTATTATTATTATTATTATTATTTATTTAATAAATTAAGGTCTTAAATTTTTATTCTTTTTAAAATATTTTTTTATTATATGAGGAGGGGAGGGAAAGAACAAAGGGAATTGTGGGTACCACCATCTCATATGTGATAATTTTATACTATTGCACTAGATCCACATTAATTCTATTTAAAATGAAAGTCTCTAAAAGTCTTTTAAATTCTATAAAAGTCTTAAAATGAAAGTTTATAAAAGTCTACAAAAAATTTCCATTAATTCCATAACAAAATCTACAACAGACATCACTTATACTCAATTGTATACACCCCATAAGTATACACAACCCCCTCATACCGAGTGTCAACTCCGGTATACAAATAGCAAAATCCTAAAATTATCTATTCTTTCTTTAACCTATCTTATTGACCTTACTCTGATCTTTGCAGATCATAAACTCCTAAATTCTCTACTATGAATTCTAAATACTTTACCCTCATAAAATCTTTATTCTTTCCTAAATCTATATCGTTTCAAAGGTTACTGATTTTGAACTCTACATGTAGAGTTCTTAAAGTATGTCTTACGTGAATAAAAGAAGTGTTAAGTGTCAATTAATCAATATGAGACAAGACCTGCACGAGCATCAAACTCAAGTGTACAGTGTCAAATGAAATGAACAGTCCACATGGCCGGCTAGAGTAGTGACTTTGTAGACATTTTTCTTGGTTGCTTGCTTTCTTGTGAGAATTGAAAGGGAATCAAACTAATAAATAGTAATACACAAAGTCGCTTTATATATTTCAAATCAAGTAGCGATTCAACGGGCGAGGCAAGTTTATTCACTTTCGGTGGATTCATCGACTTTTACGTTTGTACTCATCTAACAATTTGGACTCTTAGAAAAGAAACAAATTTGTTCATTCTCTTCAACAAGTCTGATCACGTGTAAACTGAATTTAACTTTTTTTCTTTCAAAACTTAACGAGTGCATAATTTCTTAAACATACAATTCAAAGTTCTTGCAATTCTTAATAATGGGAATGGGGTTCCAGGAATTGGTGTCTATCCAGTAAACCAAATAATTAAGACCACGAGACATGCACATGGTCGAAAAGTGACAGACATCACTTATACTCAATTGTATACACCCCATAAGTATACACAACCCCCTCATACCGAGTGTCAACTCCGGTATACAAATGGCAAAATCCTAAAATTATCTATTCTTTCTTTAACCTACCTTATTGACCTTACTCTGATCTTTGCAGATCATAAACTCCTAAATTCTCTACTATGAATTCTAAATACTTTACCCTCATAAAATCTTTATTCTTTCTTAAATCTATATCGTTTCAAAGGTTACTGATTTTGAACTCTACATGTAGAGTTCTTAAAGTATGTCTTACGTGAATAAAAGAAGTGTTAAGTGTCAATTAATCAATATGAGACAAGACCTGCACGAGCATCAAACTCAAGCGTACAGTGTCAAATGAAATGAACAGTCCACATGGCCGGCTAGAGTAGTGACTTTGTAGACATTTTTCTTGGTTGCTTGCTTGCTTGCTTGTGAGAATTGAAAAGGAATCAAACTAATAAATAGTAATACACAAAGTCGCTTTATATATTTTAAATCAAGTAGCGATTTAACGGGCGAGGCAAGTTTATTCACTTTCGGTGAATCCACCGAATTTTGAATAATAAAATACGTTATCTATGTAGCACCAGTTGTCCATTGACACAATTGTTGTTTGCTACGAATACAAGGAATTGTCTAGGAAGAGATGTGCATGCATTACAAAAACAAGCAATGGGCGAGCCTCTTTATTGATTGGGGAGCCATTTGACTTTTACGTTTGTACTCATCTAACAATTTGTTCATTCTCTTCAACACGTCTGATCATGTGTAAACTGAATTTAACTTTTTTTTCTTTCAAAACTTTACAGGTGCATAATTTCTTAAGCGTACAATTCAAAGTTCTTGCAATTCTTAATAATGGGAATGGGGTTCCAGGAATTGGTGTCTATCCAGTAAACCAAATAATTAAGAACACGAGACATGCACATGATCAGAAAAGTGACAAAGGGTTAATCAGTAAACACTGAACATATCGCCTAAGGGTTACAAGACTGACCACTCAACCATCTAGCAAGAGCCCCAAGCTGACCACCTTGTCTAGCCATGAGTCCACCGACCAACTCCTAGTAAACTGCCCTGAACATATCATCCAAGGGTTATGAGATTAACCACTCGACCATCTAGCAAGAGCGCCAAGCTGCCACCGTGTCTAGAGTCCACCTACCCGCTCATCACCTCTCTCTCTGAAGTAAAAAAAATCTCATTCATCACTTAACAATAAAAGAGAGCTTTTACTCATCTCCTCGAGTGGGGATTCTCCTCTCTTTATAATAACCCGTGGTGGAGTTTCTTCACTTAACACACGCCCTTCTATCTGGCATGCATTGTAGAATAATTAGACTGTTTTTAGTTTGAACTGTTGACATGAGGTTCTAGGAGGATTTTCAGGGTCGACTTGAATGATTGTATTAGAGGAAGTCAGAATATTTAAAAGGAGACTTTCATTTGGAACAGATAGAAATATACATCAAAGATTTGATAGAAGGAAAGGCAAACACGAGAAGTCAAGCAGTGGTGAAGATATGCTGAGTCTGATAAATGTTGTTCGAGTTAAAGACTAGACCTTGCAACACATAAAGAATACACCTGCAAACTGGGAATCGAGCATCGTCTTATATATGCTGTCACCAGAATGTAAGTTCTATCCATTTTTAATAAAATGATTTACTTAGCAGCAACAGCAATAAATTAAATCTTATTCATTGGGTGCCTGAAACACATTTCCATCGTCATGTGCCTTCCAGGATAAATTAGATGTCCTTAATTTCTTCAACAATTGCAACTTCAGACAGGTATATTGTGTCACAAGTTCAAGAACACGCTCATTAGCAATCAAGAGATAAACCCATGTAACTCTTAAGATCATCATACAAGCAATCAATCTGCAGCATCCAATATTCTCCCGCCATTTTAGCATCCAACACATAAACTGACCTCGTTCATGAGCACTAGTCACCCACAAAACATGAAGTACGCAAGTGCTCCCTGGCTGCCATCAGGGGCCAAGATCAAATAGGGCTCCAGGAACCCGAAGGCCCACGGGTGCAACACCCAAGTAGACCTAATTGGTAGGAACTTGAAACCAAATCATAAATATCGATCACCAATTGAAGTATCCCTCACAAAGTTGTGAGACAATACATGTGCGAATTTGCTTTATGTGTTTTAATGTATATGCATTTCGATTAAGGAACTTATGGATATTCGTAGTCAAATTATGTATTTGACAACAATATCAAGCATCTCTGACCACCCATTTAAATAAAAACATAACCCCTCTAAAATTTTGCTTCCAATCTCCCTTGAAGAATCTCCCACAGCCATTTCCCTCACGTTCAAAATTCACCCAATTCTACGCCTCAAAAACGAGAACCACACTGCTAACAATCGACGCTTGCTCTCAAAGGCAGCTGTACTTCTACATTTCCATCGCAAACAATTATTACAACAACAGTTACAAGATAAAAAATGTTGAAGATTTACTTAACACACAAATCAAGGAAAACTGTTATGAAATGAAACATATTAAAATATGANCTATATGACAGGTGTGAACACGGACATGCGATATTTGAAGTGTCCGTGCAACACAAAAGGTCAATAATCATAATCTGAAAACTTTAAAACACGGTCATAAATTGATCAACTGAAAAATGGAAAAGCAAAAATGTTAACAATAAGATCGAACAGAAAAAAAGATGTTTGTCTCCTTGCCTTTCTTTTGAATGCACAATTCAGCCCAGACAAGTGCATATAAATACACGGGGCATAGAATACAGTGGAAGAGGAATAACTTTTGATCACTTTCCTTTCTTCCTTCACCACGATATTGTATATGCTCGAACAATTATATATTCTATAAACAATGATTAATCGGGTGCAGAATCATGAACAAGAATCGAATCAAGAAAACATTAGAAAAAAACTCACATCAGACAGTTCCGCTGAATAAAGTTCCATATCATGCACCTCAAACACTAGTGAACAACATAATTAATCTCAAATGAATTGGAGGGGGAAAATGGGATCATGAACCGCAATAAATGAATCAAGAACATAATAAGGAACTCACATCACGGGTAAATAATTCAAGATTATACGCCTCGAGAACAGGTGAATAACATAATAATCACAAATAAAACAAATGGAAAAAAGTTAAAATCTTTGAAAACACGAATCCAACTGGCCTCTGCTAGATTGAAGAAGCGAATGCATTAATATTAAAACTTCCTCTTTTGTCTTATAAACAACTTTGCAATCCGATGGACGCCCACAATGTCAGCACTTGTAGAAATTAATCCAGAAAAACTGTACATGCAATCCTAACAGAAGATTCGAGATGATCCTCGCTTCTCACAACCTACACGAGTTAATATATTAGAAGATCGATGATGATTTATCGTGCACAGATGAACTAATTGATCTAAAAGCTCAAGCTATTAGAGGGAGGACATTGTATTCATCTGATCTTTTTTAAGACCCTGATCGTGAAGAACAAGAAAATGATTCAAGAACATTTAAAGAAAGCCCATAATGCAATTCGGACGCATATACAATCGCGAAAATATAATAAATCACAAATGAAACTAAGGAAACAGAATTAATATCTTTGAAAACCCGAAATCCAACTGACCTCGGCAGATCTGCCAGATTGAAGAAGAAAATGGATTGCTTCTAAAATTCCCTTTTGGTAAATTCTTATAAACAGCTTTGCAATTCAATCCACACCCACATTGCGGGCTCTCATAGAAATTATCAATCGAAAAATTCGCAGATGCAATTCCAACAGAAAATTCAAGATTATCCCCATTCCTCACAGCCTCCACAATATCAAGCCAAAGAAAAAACACTTTAACACTGACTCCAGAAAGGCCGGTCAACTTTCCTTTAGAGATGTATCCACTGATCTTAGAGCTGTACTTTAGTTGGTACGAGCCTTCGAGGGAGAAACTGCAGGAACCCTTAAAATACGCATTGAATTTTCCTGTCGTTTTATCGAGATCGTAGTGGGTTACGCCTTCTGGAAGGATGCCCACCGGGAAGTCATAAGACTGGAGGAGTTCGTAGGCTGTAATAGTAGGGTTTCCGCCGCCGCATGTGGTAGCGATGACGACGGCGACGGTGAGAACGATGGCAATTGTGTCGTAGGTTGTTTTAGTTGCCGGCATTGTTCTTTACTTATTATTAACTTTTTTCCTTTTTTTTTTTTTTTTTTTT